AGGTGTTCAGGAAGATTTGATTCCAATCTTGAATCGGTATATGATAGACATTCAGTCATAATGTGTTTGACTGATAGGTACGTGCCGCAAGTTGTGCATATCAGGGGATCGTAATAATAATTATTACCTATTATTAAACTCGTTATAATTATAGTGAAAAATAAAAGATACCCAAAATAATATATTTTATTAATTTTACTATTTTGAAACCAGTTAGTTGGGGTTTCTACTCAAGTTAAACTATTTAGGTATGTTAAATATCCCAGGTTGTGCCATTATACAATAAACTAATAAATATTAAATTAATAACCATAACATTTTTACATTGACATAGGAACTAGGTACCTACCCACTATGGAAATCATTTTGATTTAAATATTTTGTTTGTACAAAATATCCGGTAATTTAGATATATAGGTACAATATTATATTTCCTGTATTAAAATGACCGACAACGATGATGTGACGCAGATCAAAATATCTCATTTGGGTTTCGTGAAACTGACATATATATGTATACGTTTGTTTAGGCCCCACACTTACAAGAATAGTAATCTAAACGTCCGACTGTATAATACGTATAATAATATACAGATTTAATATTTCTGTATATTACAGCTTTAGGAGTTAGTTGAATCTAGGTCATTTATCAACGTTGAAATGTTTGAAATGTTGGTCTGTTGGAAAGTCTTCCACCCAACGAAATGATTAATAGTACAATCTAAGATTGTCGGTAAATAAGCATAATTTGCTCATTAGTGGATATAATATATTTTACATATTGTTATATTGTAACAATGTACACAATGTACACAATTTATAATAAAATTTTACGTATGTAACGGTGTAAAATTTAAAATTACGATACACCACTTTGCGCGTGGACTGAAAAATAATTTATTTCGTAAAAAACGACGATGAAACGTGCGAAATGGATTAAACTAAAGGTCCGAATAATGTTTCGTGCGCAGTTCGCAGAGAATGTCGTTTTAATAAAATATAGTGTTATATATTATGTATAGATCAATATTCTCGGGACTAGAAAACGTCATGCGTGAGAGTTGATGTTATTAATACCACCTATAATGCCTGTATATAATATTGATATACCTAATATAATATACATAGCTTGCAAAATACGTCACCGAAGTGTAATAATATAATAATATTCTGGAACGGTGTCGGTGCGATTTCGCTAAAACCGTTCATACGTGAAGCGTACTCTTATAAAATAACATTGGAATTGCTATACATATAATATTATCATAAAATTCAGATTCTAGTGTATTATTTTATTTATTTTTTATCATAACTATGGAAGAACGCGTAAAAATGTTAACGCGCTAAGACCCTCATATAGCTTGACGAGTACACTCAAGTCTGGCAATTCATATTTTTTTTATTTTTTTTTTTTTAGGAATAGAAAATTGTTGGTTAGGTTAGGTTAGGTATTACTATTACTCAGGTACCAAATAGTATTTGGCAAGTACATTTTTGGTTATAAATTTTCAAAATCCGAACTGATATTGTGTCATTATACTTAGGTACCTATACTTATGTATTGTGCACAACATAGGTAACTAAAAATATTCKGGTTACATTCGGGATAAATGTTCACATTTTATGTTATAGGTACTTTTTTTTTCAACTCGTAGGTTKGTTTGAAACCCTCMTTCTCTATTCTTCACGGACACTAGCTATTTCTTTTAGTACCCTATAACTTCCAAATCCTGCATATTTTTTGATTTGTCTGATGTAAGTGTTGCGAAGTCGCCCAGGTGCTCGTTTTCCTTCGATCATGCCCTTTGGTATTGTACTGTGTAGTTCTTTAGGATGTCTTAATGTATGTCCTACC